ACTCGAACAAAACAACGTTCAACATGCTTTGTGATTTGCTTGGCTGGAAATCTCACTGAACATACTGGACAGTGGATTACCTGTAACATTTGGTCAAAGCATTGAAATTCATCCATATGTTTCTATCAAGAAGATGACTTGTTTCATCTGAAGCACAATTAAATGGTTCATAGTAATAGATTAGAAAAGACAACAGCCATGAAAATATTGGATATTATTTTGAAAAAAACGACATAAGTAAAACAAAAAACTTACAAAATCTGTATCTGAAGAGCCTTTATCATCATCCTCTTCAACCGGTTCATAGTCTGTTATTGTCTGAAGGAAAGCAAAACTACATAGCTGGAAATATCAGAATCGATTCTCAAAAATATCACTGATCATCGACAAAAATACTACAGACCGTTGTATTTAAGCAGTTTCATTGATTTCGAGAAGTTTCGAAGTTAATAAATACAAATGATACAAATTCCAAGAAACGTACCGAAATCCAACGATGCACCTCGGCCCGGTAGGATGCCAGTATTCGTGTTTCGTTCTGAAAATCATTGGAATGATGACTGATTAGACATTCAATCAAATCTACTGATGGTATGAATGGATAAGAATAATCAAAACCATAGGCATCCAAAAAAAAGAACAATTAAAACACTGAATCAATCAATCAATCACCGAAAGCTGTTGAATTCGTTGCTCAAGTGCTGCTCGCAGTCTCATCGATCTGGCAGTTGCATTCGGTAATTGATCATAGAAATCCGAAACGCGACCCGGAAGAACCATCTCTAATCGCTTCTGTAAATGAGATTCATGTAGTATTCCATCGTACACGACAGAATCACAACAACAATCACAGAAACCTAAAAGTTTCAAAAAAAANAAAAAAAATCAGAAGCAATTTATAAAAGGAAACACAAAACAATTACCCTCGCAAGTCGCATTCCACACTCATCTGAGCAATATTTTGAGTTGAAGCGAGACGCTTTCGTGCAGCCTGGACCAAAGCATTGTTTTGGATCCTCCTTAAACGATGAATGATCATTTGTGAAACAATCAATTCCCACAAAACTAACGATAGAATAAGCGTTGAATATCAAAGTGAACATAAAAATACTACTACATTGACGGTTTATAGAAGTAGGAACTTGCAAAATTAATGATCACATTCAACCAAAAACGACCGCAATAAACATGAATAAAACCTTTATTTTTTCAACTGGAGCGTTACGTCTTGTACATGCACGGTACGTTGCAGACGCTATATGGCGACGTTCATCTGAAACATCAGTAATGAAACACCACAAATAACTGTTATTGTTAATGCGTAAAAGACTCGGAAACATCGTTCACCCTGAACAAATAAATCGGAACAGAACCACTAACCAAGTGTAAATGTCCGATCGGTACCGTACGACACGATGTCGTTATTCATCGCACCGCCCTTTGCACGAACCGATGCATAGTGATCTTTTGATGAATCTTTCTGAAAATACTACATCATTTGAACAACGAACTTAGAAAAGACTTCTCTCAGTGACTACGTATGGTGTCGCCATAACACTGCGCAATCACTTACCAACTGATCAAGTGAACGAGTCAATGATTAAGAAATAATACCGTTGAGTTGATCACAATCACAAATATCATATGTATCAATAAGAAGTAAATTTGATAAAACTATAAAACCTCACCTCATTCTTTCCTTTCCGCCAACCCTTCTTACGACCACGTTTTCCTTTTTGTGCACCGCCGATCGCCGGATGTTGTGAACCGGTCGTATTCGTTGAAAATGAATTGGTGCTACCGCCTTTTGATGATTCATCATCAGTTGACCTGAAATTCAGGATAAACACGTGCACCCTTACACCCCAAATGAATTGCCACCCCAAAAACACTACTGTCAAACGCTACAAAAATCGCTCATTGATAAACCAAAACAACCAGATCAGTGATCACATAAAAAAAAACATAAGTTTCATTTCGGATAACGAACCAGTTGCCATGTTTCATACTTGAACGATCCTTCCGTGATTTTTTCCCTCCAACACCGCAACTGTTATGCGCTGAGGATTTAGCTGAAATTTATTCGCATAATTCAGACTATTTGTCATCATGAATTACTGATGGAATGAAACGAGGCCAAAAATGAAACAATATTTTGATGTAATAATCACTCATCACCACATATCACTGAACGAATGGTGATTTTCTGAGGCCATAAGTACGATGTTTGATTGTTTTCGATAAATTATGCACG